AAATCAATCTGCCTCTCATGAGGCATGCCCGATAGATACTCTAGGAAAACATCGGGAAATTTTCTCACTATTGGAACATCGGAAACAAACTTCTTCCCCTCAACCCGAGTGTCGACCATATATACAAGGTAACTCGAACATCCATGCTAAATATACTACCTAGCTCTGGTGGTCAAACAGAAGGCTGAAACAACCCTAATTCTTTCCCCATAGATGGTTATTATTCCCTGACTTTGCATACAAACTACCACTAACTATTACTCATAGTCAATCAACGCTCCGAACCAACTCTATCAATACATACCCACGATCACACATACATCCCTCCTCAGAATAGGAATAATGTCGATCAGGAATAACACGCAAAAAATCTCCAACACACAGTCACAGTAAACATCTAACATTGATACTTGTGTGGTCATTAATGATGACAAACTCCAGAGGTCGATCCAATGATCCAAGGGCAATACGAAAACCCCTACTTAACGAAGATGAAACAAAACATCGACTCACACCTGAGTCAGACAATACTAACACATGTAATGCGTTCACTAGGAATGTACCTATAGATGCATGGATATAAAGATACATGAAACATAAATTGACATAAATATGAATGAACACATACCCGTAACGACATCAGGCGTCACCTTAGGCTCATATGTTGTCAACTAGAAATCTTGTCCTTATGCCTCCGGGGCCTCGGACTTCCCCTGGTGACCGTTAGTGATGTGCAAGGTCATAAGAGATGGAATTTGCACTGATCTTGAGGCAAGAAATGGGTAATAGACCTTCACATGGCCCGTATTGTTGCAGCTGAACCAGATACGGAAACCCTTCAGGTAATCCTTCGCAAAATGCCCCTCTTTGCCACACATGTAGCACACCATCCCTACCCAACAGGGATCCTCATGACCCTTACTATACTTGTTGCAAGTGCAGCCTCTTTGACCTCCTGATCTCGAATTAATGGATTTGAACCGCTTAATCGATAACTACGATTGTACTATAACTTGCCTTTTCTCTCTCTGCTACATCTCCATCTTACCGTCTCTCACATGCGTCTCCAACTCAATCCCCCTCATCCTGGCATTGGATTGCTGTTTAGCGAATGTACGGTACTGGGAGTTCGGCATGAATTATCTGCTATCCCTCTTGACATACTCAAGTATCAGGTCATCTGCATTAGATCCGAGGAAGCGTACTCTGGGCAGAATATGGATCTCTCGCGGGACATCTTGGTGATCTAGTTCACCGACAGTTTCATCTGCCTGAGCGACAAGTACCCCTAAGCCATCGTCTCTCTCTATCTATCTATCTATCTATCTATCTCTCTCCCCACCAGTAGAACATACTCAGTGCGAAGCATCTCATAAAACTACTCCCAAGTCACTGCGGCCCGCTCCGGAGGAGAATAGTCCTGAGTCACAAACTTCCACCAGTCCTTCTCTCCCATGACATGATGAGAAGTGCTTTGAAAGTGATATTGTGATGTTGAAGAATTAAGATAAGTAAAATAAGGGTGTCTAAGTAGTTTATTATATTTTGCATATGGTGTAAATGTTAATATATATCCTTATCAGGTTTGTACTAAATCATTTTTGTTTGATGTAATTTGGAAACTGGAGCTGGAAAGAGTGTGACAACAAAATTAGCTAGGGATCATATGATAGAAACTGGTACATTGAAATGATAGTCAAAATAATTCAAACTAGATGTGTACTATAAGCTTTTGGTAATGCAAAACATTCATGAATAAATTTTTTAGCTGATATGTAGGTTGTTAATATCTTTTTTAATAACTAATTAGTTGGAATATTTGCATGTTTGACTTTGATTTTTAAACTTTTGATATTGTGCATGGGAAATTAATTGATATTCATTAGACAATTGTTTGGTATCATGGATTATTCGTATCCTTTCTTATGTTTAAGGTAACTATTTATGAATTTTGTGTAGTATGTTATTGGAAATATTTAGGAGAAACTTGAAATAGTGATTTATACTTTGTTGGGACTTTGATTTAGAGTATGCTAACGTATTAGTGAAATAATTGTTGTATCTCATGACTTTCAGGACCAACACCTCCATCTTTTCAATTTTAGCAACGTGTATGTATATGTCATAGGAGGTTCACACTTGAAGCACAAATGAATGCAACCATATTCATATTTGTGGGAAATGGCAAAGAAGTTGGTGTCTCTATCGGGTACATTTGAGAATTGAGATATCCTTAGATGTTTTGTAAGATAGGTTGTTAGTGATGTTAATATGTAAAAATTCATTTAGAAATTAAGTTGGTGACTTTTTATTTGTTGAATTCAAAAATAGTTATTATATACTAGTTGTAACCTGCATAATTTGTTGGTAATGGTATTTATGTTTTAAATATATATGTTTTTTAAATAAATTGGTGTACTAAAGGACGTAGTTGTTTATCAAGTAACCGGACTTTGATTTGCATATGAAAACAATGTTGAGAGTGTTAGGTTTAATCGGTTTGTTTAGTCAAGGGCCACGTAGGTAACTTAACTTGGTCATATGTTGACCGGGTTTTTGGGAAATAATTAGGCAGTATAGGTAGCACGTCCTTATCTTCAACATAGTGAGTAGTCATGGAGTCTTTGTTTTATTCTATGTTTGTAAGCCTATATAAGTCATATCTTTGATTTAATTAAAGTAACCCAAGAAAAGCACCTTTGGTGCACATCGTGAGTTTTGAGTAGTGTGTGTTGTGTGTGTTTTCAAGGGCCTGTACCAACAATTGGTATCAGAGCCTAGGGCTCGTGAAGAGGTACAAGGCTGTTTTGAGAGTCGACTTCAAAGGGGTGGAGCCTTCGGGCGCAAGGTTGTCATCGCAACGGAAAAGGGGGTGTTTGGCAGCGGTTTCTCGACTGGAGGTTCTAGTTGATACAAATGGCAGAACACTATTGTGTGCAGCAGGTGGTTGCTGTTAATTGTGGTGATTTTCCGGTTGAAACAAGATGCGATGATGGTGAAGTAGGTCGCAGAGGGTTGTTGTGCTTCTCGGTATTGCATGCAATGGGTGTTAACAGAGATGAAGACGATCGTGAGGGTGCTTCGAAGTGTTTTTGCTCATGATTTTCACTGGTGTAGAATCCAATGGTTGTGCTCTTGGCTGTGAATGCGAGAATGGTGGTTCTTCCGACGGTAGGTTGTGGGTATGTCACCGGAAAATGGAGAGAGTTACCGGAGATGCGTGAGAAAACGAACACAAAAGATCCGTTAAAGCAGATGGCTTTGGGTTTGTTTCGTTTTGCAGGTGAAAGAAGACGGCAAAAGCGGATTGCTTTGTTTTCTTGATCGGTGGAAGAAGGCTCTCGTTTCACAGAAGTGTTAGGAGAAAACGGATTCTTTGTGGTCACAAACAACAGCCGGGTATGGAGGAGTTTGGACTGACCGAGGTGAAGGTTGGGTGTCCGGAAAAAGTCAGGATCGGGTGAAGACCTTGGACGTGACCGAGGTGGAGGTCGGGTGTTCGGGAAAGGTCAAGAATCGAGATGAAACAAGGCGAAACCGATTAAGGGGGTGATTGTTAGGTTTAATCAGTTTGTTTAGTCAAGGGCCACGTAGGTAACTTAACTTGGTCATATGTTGACCGGGTTTTTGGGAAATAATTAGGCAGTATAGGCAGCACGTCCTTATCTTCAACATAGTGAGTAATCATGGAGTCTTTGTTTTATTATGTGTTTGTAAGCCTATATAAGTCATATCTTTGATTTAATTAAAGTAACCCAAGAAAAGCACTTTCAGTGCACATCGTGAGTTTTGAGTAGTGTGTGTTGTGTGTGCTTTCAAGGGACTGTACCAAAAGAGAGTTTTTATAAGACCCGGTTTTTTACATGGAAACCGGGTTATAATCCATGTAGGGAAGTGACATTGAAATTGTTATATGACCCGGTTATATGATAATGAACCCGGCTCTTTTTGTCATAGGCTCTATTATCAATTTCACATAGGACTCCCTAACATTATATCCGGTTGCAAACCGGGTTACCGGGTCCTTTGACTCTTTTTGTAGTAGTACCATCTTCATCGTCATCTCATGGTTTAGATTTTACGTTGATGTGGCCAAGTACTTCGGCTCCTTTGCACATATCAAGAAATATTGAAATATTCTACGACATAACTTGTATTTGGAACCATGTATAGACAACTTGAAACTAAATTGCTAGTAAACATCCGTAAGAGAAAAAAAATAGTTGAATTGCAGTGGGGTAATTGATGGGTATTGTGTTGGCGCTAGATGAGGAGCCGATGGACATGGTGGCCTTCAAACAATCAAGAAATCAAGAAAAAAAAAATAGTGGACAAAAGGCTAACCTTTGGCAGAGGATTCATGTAATGCCTGGTAGTCTAGACCACGTTAATGACTTGAAGAACGCTCAAGAACCAACGGGTGCTCTGCATATCCGGCAATTGACAAAGATGATTTCGGGATAGAGCTGATTCAATATTGATTTTTGGACAGAGGCAGCAATGAATGTCTGCATGCGTGAGAAGGCAGCGATGGGTCTGCAATATTGTAGATAGCAAGAAAGGGTTTTTAATTTCCAGCAGATGGTTTCCTCAGGACCAGAGAAGGCCGAAAATGGATCGGCTTGATACCATGATTGGATATGTGGAACACCGTTAACTAGGGTTGTCTACTATTAATTTCAATATATAGATACAAAAGATACAAAGATGCCCCTATAATATACAAAAGAGAAAATAAAAAGAACAAATGTAATTTAACAAGTTAATTGAAGAGTTAAATCGGGAGATGTCGATCCTACAAAAATTTGTCAAATAAACACAGTTAATCAGACTTCGTAAACGACTAGTGAATCATAATTACATTACAAACACACAACCAAACATTTCAATGACTAAGTAAATTAAAAGACAAGAAAATACGGACGATTTGTGGATCAACTAATTACATATCGAACTTTAAGAGATTATCACATACTGAAGAGTGAAGATACTATTTAAGTTCGCCATACATGTAAATTTCGACATAACGTACCACATAATAATCTACCATTTAAGAACTCGTTCACAGTCATATACGCTACAAATCGACTGCAAGATCATTAGCAACAGGAGCACCAACATAGTAACAACGGTTAGAAATCTCCACGATTCGTATACATATTTCTTCACCAAACTATACGCCTTCACCTTGAACCTCTGATTATAGTAGGCATTAATTCTAGCAACAGTGTCATCATAAACTTCATTTGACGATTTATTCATCCCATTAAACAAGACCCCGATCTGAAAATCAGTCAAGTTCCCTTTAATTATAGCAGCACTTCGAAGCAAACGTGCGTCCTCAGTAGTGTCAATAATGCCACTCATGAAATCAACATACCCTGCAACTACATGGTTTTCATACTCTGAAGAGTTGCTGCTACTAGCGATTTCATAAGCTACAAGGTTTCGCAATATAACTTCTGAGTTGTCGTTTAGAGTAACCACAGGGAGGTAAAGTGTGGCAGTCATATGATCAAAGCACGCTTTTAAGGTTTCTCCATTTAAAGGCTTGAAATTGATTCGGGCCATTTTGGATAGTTGTGAAACTGTAGGAATATCTATCTCTTCAACTAGTGGATTTGTGGTGGAAATTTCTTTTCGACCTGAATTGTGACCGAGTATATTCGTTATCATATTCCATGGTAAGGTGGTGATCAACCGAATCGGTTTTATTGAACTTAATACTTCACTTGCTAAGATTTCTTTTGCATTTTCGAGCAATTGATCGTTATCGGGTTCGAGTTCTAACTTTATTGATGTGTGTCGCGATAATTCTACTTGACCAGAAGCCGCCCATGATGGAGTCTGAAAATCTATAAAGGGATCGAAATTGAGAAACAAGGTGTGCAAATCTTTAATTTATGGTTTTAGGGTTGGATATGAAGATAAAACAATTAGTTTTGTTTATTTGTTTGATTAGAGCATCCTACTTTCCTTTATTTGTATTACATCATTTTGAGTTTCATTTTTCTCTCAATAAGACAGTCAAATTAGGAAAACCTTCCCTATATATTTTAGCATTGTATTCTCAATTCTTATCATGACCTTATACAGTGTTATAATAGGAAGAAATAAAAGTAGGATGCTATAATAAACAAATATATAAGAGCTAGTGGTTCTAAACTTCTAAACACACCAATATAAAATTAGTTGGAAGAGATGACCTCTGTCACTGCTTTGACTCATAGTGATCATCATATGTAAAAGATCCAACAAGTGAAGAACTTTTGTTTCTTGGAAGACTCTCTCATATGATTGCAACTCAAAAGGCGATTGAGACTCACAAAAGACCTGCATCATTGACAACAGTTTAGCATGATCATCGTTTTTCGACGAGCCGATCGATTTCACAATTTCCTCCAAAACAATCATTGGGATTTGATTCTCGAGCATCATAACGTCGCTAAAAACACTACCGTTATCATCAAAACTATTCAACCGTTTACTCAAAAGGTAAATCAGAAACATCCCATCAATGGCAAGCATCAAGGCTAAAGTGTCATCCTCCAAATCAAGGTACTTGTGGTAACAACCTCGGATCTTTGGTCCCATTTCCTTGAGCTTGTTGACCACAAAACCGATTTGGTCAGGTCTCCAGTAAGACTTGACCATTTCGATTTTGTATCGCTCCATATGATAGAGCTTGGGCCGTAAATAATGGTAGGGCCCTAATGCTATCACTTGAGGAGCATAAGCTTCGGGATTTGTGACACTTATGGAGTTGGGTACATGGCAAACAGCAATCGGTATTTTTAGGTCTAATGGTGTCTCATTTTCAAGGTTTTTTCGGGTTTGAACAACCCAGTTTTGTTCGGAGAAGGTGGAGCTCAATATGGTGTTGGAGGAGGAGGAGGAGGAGGAGACGGCCATTAATGCTTAAACTTATATAATTTCCGATGGTTTGTGCATGCAGGCAGTGCTACGATGAAGAATATGTACTTCTGTTATATCATATGGTAGGCACACTGTCACTATAACTTATGTAGTTACTTTTATTGCCACGATTAAATGCATATTACAATATGTTACGTGTTTCAAATGTGAAAGTACATGTCAGAACAAATAAGATTAGAGGTTAATTATTTAATATATTTATTGGTGTTAGATAATTTGATTTGAAATAACTAAAAATAATGTAATATAATGAGAGAGAATCTTCTAATTATGTTAAACGCTATTTTTAAAATTTTATTTGTATCATAACATTTTGCTAGGAATTTGAAAAATCATTTATTAATAACAATAATCGGCAATATAACACGTTTTCATTTTTTAGGATGCTATAAAAATTTTGTTGTACATGAAAAAATAAATACAATTAAATATAAGAACAAATATGGCTAATCAAATTATAAATTTTCCAAAAAATAATTACTCGGTTGAGTTACTAAACATGGTCGGACTTACTATGAGGGTTCGGTTACTGATGTATATTTTTACTGCACTTAGTTTTGCATTCATAATTCTAATTCATAGTAGCTAAACCAATATACATTACATGTAATGAATCTGATTGAGTATAATATAGTAATTGTAAATAAGGGTGCCGAACTCAAGTGAATGAGTACGGATTAATGTTATAATGTTTGATTATAAGTTACTATAATTCTACAAAACCAAATAAAAGGAAGGAGTTTTGATTATATAATTCAAAAAGTAACTAAAGTAACAATGTAAATTGATTGAAACGATTCACTTTAATTACTTTGGTTTAAACTCGATTACATCTTAAATTCATGATTAAATGCTAAAGTGAAATTGTTATTTATTCGTCATTTATCTATTTCTATTAGCTATCTTGGTTGGATTAACTAATTTTGTATAATCATAAAGATAATTAACATATTGGTCGTGCAATTAATCATCCAAACAATTATAATTATATTCGGATTATTAGAGATTTGGTCGGGGAATTAACTTCAATGATGATGAAAGTCAGTAAATAGCATAAGTTGGTCAACAAACGCTCTCTTATACATTAAAGCTCACGATTTTACTACCTAACCCTAGGTTTTGGTCAAAACACTAGTTATAACTATTTAATGGTCATAAATCAATTATGAAACAAGCCAATAAAACTAGATTGATAGTCTAAGTTCTAATAAGGGCCTGTTTGGTATCTAGTTAACTAGGTTTGGTCAAATTTTTTGCCTGACTCGGTTCGGTCAACCTGTTTGATAAAGAGATAATTATGACTGACCCGGTCCAATATGTTGATTCGTTCATGAGTAAATGTATGATTTGGTCCTAGGTAGAAAAGTGGCTGACTGTAGCATTTCCCGCTTTGCCATGATCCTTTCAACACCCCATCGTGAACGACCCAACCTTTTGTCCCTCTCTAGCTTCTATCTTCGCTGGAGTTTGCTCCCCCTTTTACCATTGTATATGCAGCCCTCCTCCTACACCTACTCCAACGCAACAATTCTCCCCCATTCACACAGCGACGTACCCTGGACTCAACATACTCCATCACAAGTCATCCATCGTCACCCTTATCATCGATCTCCGCCTGTAAGGGCTACAATCGATTTCCGATCCATTGTATCTCCGATCCTCGTAATATTTAAAACTTTTTCAATCGATTTCTGCAATAGATTTTTGTAGGGTCTGTAATCGATTTTTTCAATTGATTTCATTTCAAGTTTGTCTCCGTTAATCTCTTACGCGCTTCATGCTATGTTTATGTTTAGAACTAGATATGTTTTTCAGTTAAATGTGTTTAAAATCATTTATGCCTTTCTATGTGTTCGACAAAATGTCTGTGTCATTTATGCCTTCATCATATATATTTGGTTAGAGGTACATGACTTTATTTATTATATTAGAAGAATATGATATGATATTTCTGTAGGCAAACCATTCGATGGTGAGAGTGAAGGATTTTTTGTTGTTCATTTTCCTGACTTGATCATTCTCTACACGTTTTCTTGTTCATTATTTTGTTGCTATGCTCATGATTTTTTGTTGTTGCTATGCAAGGATTTTGTTGCTCCAAACTATTGTGTGAGGTTTTTTAACGTATTTACAAGTAAAAATTTTTGTTGTTGGGTATTACTTTTTCAATGTTCTTAATAGACTTTGTTCATGTTGTAAGGTATATAATCTAGTGTGCAATTATATCATGTTATTATTTGTGTATCAGGTTATCTTATATTAAGATAACCTCATAACTTGACATATTTGGTAGTCTGGATCATCAATTTCATTGGTGGGTCCTAGTGGGAACACTTGGCACAACAAAGTGATGGTTTGTTTACGATGTTGTAAAAAATACCTATGAAATTTACACTACAAATCTTTGATCACAGTTATTGTGTGAAAGAGACTGCATTTTCAACCGAATGCCATCAAGATTTAAGCATCTTTGGTGAACATTGTGGAACAAAAGGAAAAGGAATATGCATCTTTGTTGCTAATCATGGTTGATGGTGTCCCAAAGAAAAGATGAAGTTCTCAATCACACAATGAACTCACAAACATATCTATTGTCTATTGTAGATTAATTGTTCTTTGTATTGAAAACTGCTTTTTTCTTGTAATTTTCTTTTTCGAAGAATTGTTGTAAATTATATCATATTGTTTTGGAGTATTCGGTCAATTTCATTGTTATTTTTTTTTGGATATTTTTATAAAAAATTTAATGTTATAAATTGAATGATAAATCATAAATGAATTATTATAAAAAAATGTTGTTTGAGAGTAATATAGTCATTTTGCACAATCAGTCAGATGCAAAATCAAACAACAAGTTTCAGTCAGAAGTTAACTTAGTCAGAACTTCTAACCGAGTCAGCTTCTAACCCAGTCATCTCTAACCAAGTTAGCAACTATCAAACGACCTCTAACTTTAATAATAAGTAATAAAAATAATATCATTAACACATAAGGGGATTGATCAAAGAAACATAATATATTTAATAACTCAAAATATTCAGACAACAAAAAGCCAATAAATTCATCGATTCATCTAATCTAAACACAAAGTAAAAGGGTTTTTAATCCCTAAATCAGAATACAAATTCAAAATACTAAAGATGACCGGAACAGCAAACCGAATGATTCTCGTGACAATTCGGCTTCAGATCCTTCAGATTTTCGCTCCTTTCAGTTTACACTAGTACAAAACTGGGTTTTGTCATGCAAAATAAATAAATAAATAAATAACCATCACTATAGACTTTTATGTTGGATATTTTTCATTCAATGTGTAATGAAAGTTCACTTCATTGATGATAAGTTATGGTGTCCTTTACTTGTGGTGGGTATAACCCCATGCAAACCCATTGTTATGGGTCAAACCCGTCATTATATGTTAGAGAGTTTTTGGACATATATCTATTTTATTTGTATAATCGTCATTAATAATACACTTATAGTCACTTTTAATTTCTTTTATATGACTGTTGTACACATTCACTCATAAGTAATTAAACGATGACCATAAAATAGCTACAATCAGTTGTTATTTCTTTTATTACGATTATTGATAACTTTTAATGACATGTTTTTATTATATCATGAATATTGTTTATATTTACTCACTCACAAGCAATTAAAACGGTGACCATAAAATACTTATAGTGATGTGTTTTTTCCTATAGAATGATAAATGTTACTTATAGTCATCGTTTACAAATATTAATGCATAATTGTTAATTTTTAGGGAAACAACTATAATTAAGCTGTTAGCACAAGCTATATGTACTAACATGCAGTGGTAGAGACAATAGGGGGACTATTGGATGCACTGCCCCCTCAATCTCTTTTAAAACACCAGCCATATTATAGATAAAATGAGTCTCTAAGTAATTTTTTAGCTCAAATGATTTAAATAATAACGCTAGACACTTCCATATATATTGTATTTAAAGAAAGAACAATTATTATATAGTGAAAGAGAAATTAAAATAATGAGGGTATAAGAATAGTCCCACCGCCTCCACCCTCATTATTTTTGCATCCACATCCATTTTTTTAATTGACTTACTACTCCCATTTATATCAATTCCTTGGTAGTTATTGGTTATAATTTATACCCTCGTTTAATCACAAATAGCTTTTGTTAATCGACGATTCATCAAGATAAAGTTCGTAGCTATTTTGATTCATTTTCAATTAAGAATTTATTTATGGCTACACTACACCGGTACGTTTGCACTATTTTAATTTTCTAATCAATAAGAATGTTAATAGATGAATATAAGTCAATACTTATAGTCTGTTGAATTTTTTTTAAAATTGATTTTAACGGGTGATTATAAGTCGATGTTTATGATCTATTGAAAACTTTTAAGATTGATTCTTATAACGATTGATGTAGTTTCTACTATATCTGTACGGTTTTTGTTTGGCAATTTTTTTTTAAAGTTTTAGACTATTAATTTATTTGGATATAACACTATATTTTAATATGTCATTACAATCCGAGGCTGTTAGCCCTTTTATTTTTAAATCTTTGCTCCGCCCCTGCTAACATGTTTAATGGTTTATCATTACTATTGTTACATACACCTCCAAATAAAAATTTAAATTGTCAACAAAAATGATCTATACTGACACTAATATGTTTTTATTAATTATATTGTAGAATAATTAATCTGTGAGCATAAGTTATATTTACTAACATGTTTAATGGTTTACCATTATTACTGTTTCATACACTGACAAATAAAAATTTAAGTCATCACAAAAAATGATCTATACTACACTAATACAGGGCCGGCCCATGGGCCTGGGCAAGCTGGGTGACCGCCCCGGGCCCCCAAATGCCATAGGGCCCCCATTTTATATCTCTTATATTAATTGTATAGCATTAGCCCATTAGGTTTAAGCTTATTGGACTGATTATTATTGAAGCCCAATACAACAATACTCTGTCTCTTAGTCTCTTATCAGCGTGCGTCGTCAA